TTTTCTACTGGAGATTGTAGAATAAAAAAAAGTTTAAGATGGTTATGTGCAGAACTCCCTAAACTTTAAGGGGTTTTAATGAAATAGAAGAAAAATTTAAGGGTTTAATGCAATAACCTGAAAGTTTATTTTAATGTTTAGCAAATACTATAAAAAGTATTTATGTTCTAATTAGGCACATTGTGTACATATTCCTACAGTGCTAGTGCATCATCTCTCTCTCTCTCTCTGTGCGCGTGTGCGTGCGTGCGTGTGTCTCTGTCTCTCTCTATTTCTCAAAAAGACAATATAATGGTGCAGTATATTAGAGCATGCATATATGCATCAGAAATCGAATAAAGTTCACATCTACTATGAGCTATATTATCTGCTATTTAGCAGCCTACAGTAGATGTATTGCACCGTCGGCCAAGAAGGGTTAGTCATTCTCCTCCACCTCTACTCACCCAATTAATTCTTTAATTCTAGATATTCTAAAAAATATTGCTACCAATTATGGTATCAAGGAACCTATACCAAACAAAAGGTATTTCTAAGTTGAAGAACATGGAATTAGAAAGGGGAGAGGTAGCAACTTAGCCCACTCCCCCATCAATGTTCCTTTTGATACTTTTTTATATTCTTGTCTAAATAAAAATAGGATCATGGAATGTTAAGGGTCTAAAAAACCGTGTTAAAAGAAGGTTAGTTAAGGACTCTATTATTTTCTCAGCGGTGGGTATAGTGGGCTTTCCTAGAGTCCAAACTCAATGCTCCTAGAAATAGAACTCTTAATACTAGGGGTGTTAATAGATTGACTGAATGGCTTAGTTTAGATGCTATAGACACTAGGAATGGTGTGCTTCTAGGAAGGAATAACGCCCTCTTCCAATGTCTTGACTCCTACGTGAGCATTTTATCTGTCTCTGCTCTTCTTATCCACATACCTTCCAATTGAAAGTTTGTAGCTACTTCAGTTTATGCTCCATATTACTGAGAAGAGAGAAAAGTGTGTTGGTGGGAGATTGAGAGAACTAGACGTGTCTTTCTATAGTCATGGGTAATGTTTGGGAATTTTAATGTGACTCTTAATACTGGAGAAAGAAGAGGTAAATCAGGCTCTATGAGAGATATTAACGCCTTCAACTACTTAGTTGAATTACTTTTCCTAATAGATATTCCCCTTAGTGGAAGTTAATTTACGTAGTCCAATATGAGAGAGAATCTCTCCCTAGATGGCCTAGACAGATTCCTAATTTTTACTAATTTTGAAGCACAATTCCCTTCCCTTACCCAATATGCATACCCCTCCGCATGCTCAGACCACACTCCTATCATTTTGGACACTAGGGGAATTTCCCAAAGCCAAAATTTAGATTGGAAAAAGCATGGTTTACATATCCCTCTTTTAAATCCTTTGTTGCAGACAATTGGCAATCCTTCTCTTGCAATAAGAACATTGTCCTCTCATTCTCTTTGAAGCTAAAACTCTTAAAAAGAAGACTTAAGTGGTGGACTAAGCACATATATGGCTGTGTCTCAAAGAGTTTATCCTTCTATTCCTACAGTCCCTTGAGGTCATGGAGGAATCCAGGATTCCCACAGAGACTGAATGTGCTCTTAGGTCAAACTTAAGCAATACCTTATATCTAATGCCAAATCTGAGGAGGTATTTTGGAAATAGATCCAAACTTCTCTAACTGAATGAGGGAGATAGCAATACTTCATTCTTCCAGAAAATTGCCTCTAATCATAAAAGGAAAATTTTCTTGTATAATGATAGTTTCATTACTGCTGAGGTGGGCAAGCAAAAAACCTTTTTAGATTGCTTCTCTCATATTTTCTTTGCTAAAAGCACCCTCATTCTTCTCCTTAGACTGGTAGTCCCTCTATTCTGATGTTATAGATGGAATGCATTCTTTAGAGACATTTTTTTCTATGGAAGAGATCAAAGCTTCTGTTTTTAGCCTCCATCTTGACAAATCCCCGGTCCTGATGGCTTCTCCATTTTGTTTTATCAATCCTTCTTGAAAATCATTAATAAGGACATGTTTTCTTTCTTTCTATCTCTTCACCAAGATGCATCTCCTCTTCACCACATCAATTATTCTTTCATATCTCTCATCCCCAAGGTGGAAGGAGCTTACAAAGTCAAGGATTTTAAGCAAATTAGTCTCCTTAATGGCCTTTTCAAAATCTTCACTAACGTCCCAGCTAACAGACTCTCCCCTTGCCCCTACTCCCTAGTGGATCCTTCTCAATCGGCCTTCTAGAGTGGAAAAAGTACCCTTGACTCTATCCTTTCTGCTCGTGAACTTTTACACATTTGTGAATCCAAAAAGAAAGAAATTTGTCTTATCAAAATTTACTTTGTTAAAGCCTTTGATTGTATCAATTGGCAATTTATTTTTAAGCTCCTTCAAACTAGAGGGTTTGGTCTTAAATGGCGCAATTGGGTCAGCTCTATTCTCTCCTCATCCAGGTTCTCTATTCTTGTTAATGGTATATCAACCCATCCCTTCTCTAACTCCATGGGTATCAACCAGGGGGACCCTCTCTCCCCTATGCTTTTTACTCTGACAGCTGATGTGCTTAATAAAATGCTCAAAACTAGTGTAGTCTTAGTAATTTATCAAAATTACACATGAGAGGAGAGCTCAACAACATTACATCACTAGACTTTGCTGATGATACTATTGTCTTATGTAAGGCATCCTATGAAGACATTTCTGTTCTAAAAATCATTTTCTACCTATTTGAGGATGTGTCAGGTCTGAAGGATTAGCTACTCTAATTCTAGTCTTTTTTACTTTGGAGGTCTATCAATAAAAAGACTATCAGCTTGGATCTACCCTTTAGTGTACCCTTGATAAACCCCTTTTTAAATATCTTGGTATCCCTCTGAAAAAAGATCTCTATCTAGCAACTTATGCTTGATACTCTCTCTAGGAAGCTATCCATGTGGAAAAATAGACAACTTTCAATTGGTGGATGTTTAATTGTTATAAATTCTATGCTTACATCAATCCCACTATATTTCTTGTCTTTCTTCAAACTCTTTGCTTGGCTAATCAAAAGATATAGACAATATTAGACATAATTTTCTTTTTTTTTGGTGGGTGGGTGGATCTCTACTTAATTGGAAAATAGTGTGCAAGCCTAAACTAGAAGGGGGTTTGGGCATTATCAATTTATCAATCTTCAATGGGGCTCTTCTATCCAAATGAATGTAGAGATTCCTCAAACAATATTCACTAGTTGGCCAAATTTTCTCTGCTTCATACTCCCATCTTACACCTATCACTAGTTGCACACCACCTAAGGGTAATGCATCCAAGTTCCGACATTGCCATAATCATTTATAGCCAAACCTTATTATCTCTAGTTCAATAGAACTTGGGTAATGGACTCTCCATTCACTTTTGTGAGGATAAATGAACAAGTGCAAATACTCTATCATCTCTGTTCCCTCTGGAATATAACCTGGCTCTCTGCAAAAATGTCAGTGTAAGATCTCAAGGTAGAATGCATGACAACCAATAGCATTGAAGGACTCTCCTTCATAGGCATATATCCCAAAAAGAGATCCAAGAAGTTTCAACATTGAAATCCCTCCTCTCTAATCACAAAGATCCAAATAGCTCCCAAATAGATGAAGTCCTCTGGCCTTTCAACACCATAGGTTTCTACTCTATTAAATCCCTCTACCAGCTCATCTACAGTGGAGGCACCAAATGCGTAGCATACAACTTCATATGGACATCTTTTCTTCCATCCGTGCTCTTACGCAAGCACAAGCTTCAAACTAAGGTAAATCTATCTCTTAAGGTTGGTTAGGAGACACAACATGCTCTCTTTGTCAATTTGTTGCAGAAACAGACTCACAACTCTTCTGGGAGTGTGCTTTTGTTGAAGAACCTTGCGACCCCATCCTGTCCAACCTATGCCTGAATAAGTACCATAGATTTTGACAGTATGCTTCGCTCTTATGGATCCTTTTTGTCAGATAAAGAAGGTCGTCTGCTTTGGCAAATTGTCTTCCTAATTTTTTGCTGGAATCTATGAAGAGGTTGTAATGAACTAATATTTAGACAAACCCATGTCTCAGCTTATCAGTTAACAATTAATGTCTCTTTCTTCACTATGTTCTGGTTAGGTAAAACAACAAATGAGAAGGCATGCTCTGTTCGTGCGACTGCTACCCAACTAGGACTACAGGAACTCCATGGGACTGACACTGAAATGGTAGAGGACAATTTCTAGAGAGAAATATGATCACAGTTGTGTATATAAATATATCTATGCAGATACTCCTAGGTTGTCACATTTTGTAGTGGATATGGTCACTATATAAGGTTGTATACATTCTTATGAACATGTTGACTTAGGAGGATTGTCTCACTCTCAATTCAAGTTTCAAATAACGTCAAAGGACCTCTCTTTGATCCTTACAAGAGTGAGCCCTCCTCCTCTAATAGGGCTTCCAGCCCTATTTTCAAAAAAAAGGTTCGTATAGAAAACAATAGATATATATTTGTTGAATAGGGCTTCCAACCCTATTTTCCAAAAAAAGGTTCGTATAGAAAACAATAGACAACACGATAGAAAAATATTATGACAAATTTTCAAAATAGGCTAATTTTAGTATTTATTCACAAAATAGACCTACTTCTATTTTATTTACGAAAATAGACTCATCAGCACCATTGCTGAAACTGAGTTGACTTAAAATAATTTACTAATTAATTAGATTTGGCAACTCTGCTTACTTAGTGAAGATAATTAAGTTTCAAATAGCCTTGGTTGGCAACGATGACTATGTTTGAACTAAGTTCTAAATAGTCGTGGTTACCGACCACAGTTATTTTGAACTCTGGAGACCCGTCCAATTAGTAAACTACGTTTGCTTTTTAAATCGACTTAATTTCAATCAACAATGCTAACATGGCTGAAAAGGGGTCAATTTTCATACATAAAATTGAAAGTGAGTCTATTTTTATGGATAAATATAAAAAAGGGTCTATTCCAAAATTTTCTCCAAATATTATTATTACGATATCCAAACACCATGTAGTGAAGTACAATCTGGAGCATTCCATCATACATGATATGCAAATATGATCAGATGACTGTCTCTCCTCACACCTCTCCTACTATCGAAAATACACTCCATACATACCCGACTAGAGTTCAAGCTTACATGGAAAATATCAATGTAACATACTGTAGGTTTCTTATCGAAACAAATTACTCGTTCTTTTTGGTGAACTTGGCTTTATCTGCTCCGCTGTAGGGAGCAACATGGTATGCATATTGCTGGAGGACAGAGAAGATGACCATCTCCACTATTACCAGTATGTTCTGAAGTGCTTCTTGGATCTGCTCTACATCTAACCAGAAGTGGTGTGATTTTATAATTCCCACGGCAGCTAATACCTCGAGAGCAATTCCCTGCCCCGAAAAAAAATAAATAAATAAGAGAAGAGAATAATAAAGAAAGTAAGTTCAAGAGTTGGACTTGTATATTTTCATTAGATCTTCATAATTGTCAATTAACAAAATTGAAGTGACTGATTTGGAATATAGAGAGAGTTTACTGCAAAGGGGATCATTGCTGTTGCATTTGGTGCTTATGAGATTAGCCATTTTAGCCCAATGCACGAAACATGATACATTAACAGGTGTTAAACGCTACCCATGATTTATCTAGAAGTATGTGGTTCAGAATCTTCAGATACACACAAGTTATGCATCTACTGGGTAGTATATAAGGTATAACAATACCTACATGCACGTGTATGCGTGAACTTCCAAGTGGGTGCATATAGAGAAGCTCTAATTTTGTTAAGCCTAGTTTTGAGAAAGAAAATTCCAACCTTATGGACCTTGGTCACATATGCCTCCTCCATAAAGAGGGCATGTGTCGATCAATAAGCTACTTGCTATGCTTTCACTCAAATTAGACAACTCTTTACAGATCAACTAGATACATCTAGACCTGTTATGTGAAGAGGGGTTAATTGCACAGTCTCTACAGTATTGCACCTTGGAACTTATTATTCATGTAGTTTGATTTTGGCAGATAGACCCCTGGGATGATATTCTTTTGACTCTATTACCCTCGAGGTTGACTCGATAATTTCATCTAGGGTAATATATACCAAAATTTCAGAGTAAGAGAGTCAAAAAAATTCATAGTAGAGGTCTATTTGCCAAAATAAATCTACATGAGGTAGTAAGTTCCAAAGTGTGATACTACGAGGGTCGTATGTGCAACTAACCTTTTAAAGAATCAATTGATAGTGACTACTACATAATCTTTCCAGAATGTCTCTTATAAGTAGGATCCAGCACGCTTCCCTTTTTCCACTTTTCTCTTTTCTTTTCTTTTCACTTTTTTATTCTGGTAAGAAAAGTCACGGCCAGACTTGAAACTGAAACTTCTCATAACCTACTACCCAGCCAAACCCTTTACCATAGAGCCAGCCTCAATGGATTAAAAATTTTATATGTTTAGGGTAAAGAGCTTTTCCCTCTAAAAGAAAATTTAGACAAGGAACATACCTGCCAGAAGCAAAAGAAGACAACTCCCTTGATGCACAAAAACTTCGCCAAAGGCTTGTGCGGTGCCAACTCCTTAGCAAACACGTGATAAAAGATAACCAGAGCATACAATGCCATAGAAACTGATATGTTCAATATGAAGGTGAAAGTCCAGCTGAGCCAGCTAGGATACCAACCAATGACTTGGCAAACAATCATTAGAATCGAACAGATTGGCCTAATCACTACAAATTGCCATGTCCAGTACTTAAGGACCTTCAATGTGTGATGCTCTAAGCGAACAGTGCGAGGCTGCATTCCAAGAAAGGAAATATTAAAATTTAATCCATGTGATATACACAGATTACTAACATAAACGGACAATATAATTATGATATAACTGAGAATATTCTTAAGGAGTGAAGGTTACACTGAAGTGATAAATGAACTTGCATCAAATCCGTCAAAAAAATTTGGTCTATAAATAAATGGAAAACTGGAAACAGCATCAGCAGCAGGGCTTTTATCCCAAAATTTGGAGTTAACTACATGAATTATATTCTTCAGTTCAGATCTATTATGGGACATGTCTAAGACACGGTTGTTTCCGCAATATTATCCTCTACTAGGAAACAATCTCAAAATCGCTTCTCAGATCATTTTCCCCTGAGAAGCATTAATCCAGGCCCCTTCTTTAAACAATGGGAAGCTAAATTTTTAGGTGAATTAACCATTATAAAACAAATATTCCTGATACAACAGTCTTTAATTGGGGTTTAACATAGCAACCATTTTATATTGTTAATTAGCTTCAGGATTAAGGTTAAGAGAATACCAGGAAAAGTGTAACAGGGAAAGAATGATGAATCTCCCTTCCTTTGATTTCATCAGGCACTAAGTTCTTACTGAGAGAGATATTCAAGTAACTATACATCAGTGCCATGAACTTAGCAATCACCTGCACTTTGCAAACAGGAACTTGCATGAACAATATTTTTCACTAAATATTTTGCATTTGATAAAATCTACAGAGAATCACATACCAGAGCTTCGTAGCATTCCTTAACTGAGTCCAGGAATGTGAAAAAGGCTTTGCTACCTTGAATGTCCAGCAAACCAACAAAGGAGTCGATGGCATATAAAGGAGCCATAAGAATGATGATAATTATAGCCTTCTGTTCCTTTGGATTTTTCCAATAGAAAAGATGTTGTGAAAGTAATTGTACAGTAAAATGCATTGACAGCATCACACAGCACCCTGACCCTAATAGAGTGAGAGTCTCTCTGTCCATTTTGGTTATATCCATCTCTGCGAGCTTATCCAAAGAGCTTCCTATAGAAAAGCATGTTTTATGCTATCAATGAGTTGCAAATGGTATAATTTTGAGTACAAGCACAATATTTTATGCAAACTATCCCTCACATCTATGCATTCAGTTGTACTTAACACCTCTCAACTCATTTACTAGCACTTAGCACCCTTGAATTGTCACTTTTAGAAAGATAAATTCCCTGTTAATTGAGAATAAACAAGTTGAGGGGTGTCTATGCAACTGATGGTATAATTAAGGGGGGAGGGGGATTATATGCAATTCATGCTTATTTGTTTATTAGATATCTTTTTTTTTCTTGTTTTAAAACAAGTACAATGATAAAAATGACTGTAGAACAACTAAGCCTCATTGATGCAGATTTGAGATAAGGAATGAAGACAGTCTGTCGCCATCTTTCACATATTTTGCCTAATTGCATTGAGATTCATATGCTTTAGCGGAAGCCAAGAAGGAACCCAAACGAAGGAATAAGTAAGAAATATGCGTAGATGTGAAAAAAATAATTAGGCTGGCAGCATGAAAGACAGTATGCAACACAATCTTAATAAAAAATAATAAGTAAGATCAAATAGATTACAAATATAGAATACTAAGATCAAATAGATTACAAATATAGAATACTAAGAGCCAATTTGGTATTGCTAGAGCTTATAATAAGTTGTTTATAAAAGCAGTTTATAGAAACAACTTATATAAACTGCTGAAAATAGTTGTTTGCTAATCAAATATCAAAAAACTTCTTTAAAAGCAGTTAAGATGCTTGCTAGAACTGCACTTAATGATCATTGTTAAAAGATAAAAAGTATATGTGGTATATAAATTAAAGAAAAGTAAAAGTTGCTTCTAATAGCATCCTCAGATTGCTTCTAAAAGCACTCCCTTAAAAACAGAACCATTTTTAATAAGTATACCAAATTTTTTTTTACTAAACACCATTATTGGCTGCTTCTTGAAAAAATAAGCAAAAACACCCTAAAAAAGCAATACCAAACTGGCCCTAAAAGAGCATAAGGTGACAACAAACGAAGTACGACATAAACTAAAGCAACTAACTTATCTCACTTACTCCATTATAATCAACCTATCTCGACCAAAGACACTACTAGGAATATACGTTATTAGCGTTGTTACCCTACAAACAACCCTCTAATATAGGCTTGAAGCCGTCTCAAACTTAGGGCATCACGGTATTTTAATTACATAAAGGCTTTCTATTTAGAGTCTTCTCTTCAAATTAGATAGTTTGGATATAAACTTCAATCTGTGACTACACTAACTGAGGTTCATAATTCTATACAAGTGCTAGAGTTCCAATTTTTTTTATAATCTTATTCTTAGCAATAAGTTTGTATAAATATAAAAGAATATTAAACTAGTTAGGTTTGTTGTAAGTAGTTTGTGATAGCCTAGGAGTTATGTTTTGCAAAAGCACGTACCCGGGCTATCTGATTAAGAACTTCCTGAATGATATAGCATGTTCGTTCTTATGTAGAAGATAATGGTCTTCTCCGTACTCTCTTCCTTAACTCTCATATTCTTCTTCTTCTTCTTCCTAATTCCTTTCCATTTAGATCTCGACCTCCTGAAGAGCCTCAATTCCTGATATTTGTAATCTTGCTAACCAAAATTACAAACCTCCCAAATACTTCCCTGATTCATTTCTATAAAACACCTTGTCTATATATGAGATTTAGACTCTTGAGGTTGCTACTCACTGCTGCTGACTGAATACTTCTCCTACAAATTAATTCCTTCATAAATGTTTCTTCGTCTACATTGTACATGATCAAGCCATCAAAATCTTCTTCAACATGTAAATTACTGCTTCATTCGAGGACTCGATCTATGGCCCTTGTCTTCACAGTTTTATCAAACATCACCATGTCATCCTCAACTGAAATATTGAATACAGAACCAAGCCAACCTCCAGTTGTTACCTTTTTCTTGCTAAGGGAGTCAATCCATAATATACTAAAACAATAAATGGTTTTGCTGCAAGAAAAGAGTTGTCATCTATAATCACCTATATGTCAAACTTTTTCTAGGAAATAGGGCCTTATCCCAGTATATGAAGTTAAAAAGACGCGAGTAGAAGAGTAATGCAATGTGCAACAGAGGGATTACGCTATGGAAGTCAAATAGTTTGCCGATTCGTGAGTCATATTTGTCACCATAGAACCGTTTCGGCTCTTTGATCTCCCTATTTCCGATCCAACCCGATACTTGCAATGGTGATGCTAATCCAATCATCTTGCAGATGCAGTTGGATGCCAGATGAAATCCACAAAGCAGTTCTCCAAAACGGAAATTAAAAAGATTTGGGACAATATTTCGGACATAATCAGGCTCCACTTCTCTCATGACTCTAGTAGAAGGTGTTCGAGCATATTCATGAATCACAAAAAAAAGCATGCATACAATGCTTTACAAGATTGACCTACGCGCGGAGACAGGCTAGCAGGAACCTATATGCAAAACTTGAAAAATATGTTCCAAACAATAGATTAACCAGTGGCAATTCATTTTCATGATAATTTTTTTCAGAATCATTTCTGAATCCATGAGTTCATCTGGAGGGTTTCACTTAAACCTCCAAGAACTTCCCCCTTCTGGTTGAGCTAAAATAATCAAACAACTAAATTTTTGAATACGTATCAGACAAGAACAATCTAAGGTTTTGGGTTTCATACTATAGCTATGGAATCAGTCCAACTGTGCTATGAGAAGAATACAATCAATCCACCTCGATCCAAAACACTACATAAATACAAATTTAAATAATTCACACTTCAAAAGAAAAGGGTAGCAAAAAATAAGAACCTTACCGAAATAAAAGATCTTTAAAGCTTAAACAAAATACCCAGAAAGATAAAATAACGCAAAAGATCAAATCTAAGCACAACCGATGAAGTTGGTAGACAAAAAAAAAACTAGATCCGGATGAAAAAGGACTTGAAATTGAAAAGAGAAGTCAACGAGGGACTTACTTGTAAAATTTTCCGAGGGAGGACGGAGGCCGCGAGTAGAGATCCGATGATTCCAATGGACTCTGAAGCTTTTTCCTCGTTTTAAACGAAGTTACATTTTTATTCCTGGAGAGATGAATTTTCTATTGCAACACAGCGTACTACATTTGTGCATGTCACATCATCATATGCCTAAAAATATGTTAGATTTATTATTAGAGATTGTAATTTTCAGATTAGATTTATTATTAGAGATTATAATTTTCAGAGAGTTTCTCATAGCAAAATAAAACAAAAAATTTTTGCATTTTCTGAGATTGGTCCCTTAAATCTAAGAAATTTTAAAATAAGTTCCCAAAATCTTATAAGTTGTATTTAGATAGCCGCATTAGACATGTGACATCTTTAACAGCTAAATTACTAGATTGATATTTACAATATACCTTATTTACTAAGACGGTATTAAAAAAACCTCCAGCGACGTTAGGGTATTTAAAACACATCCTCTTTTATCAATAAGTCTCTTATTTACCAGATTGATGGGTTTTGATGAGTTTGGGATGTTTACAAAAGAAAGCATGAGATCATGAAAGTGACGAGGGTTTGTGGATAGATCTGTTGAGAAAATGAAGTGGGAATGGAAAAAAAAATAGGGGTAATAAAGGCATAAGAGATAATAATTAAGATAATTAAATATTAATGTGTATAAAGAGAATAATTTTGGGTGTATACTTAATAATTTTGAGAGATTAAGGGGTGAAAGAAATTTTCTTGCAGGAAATCTTGCCGTTGGTGAGGAAAATGACCTTGTTGGTAAAGATGAGCTATTGTAGATACCCCAGTATAGTCGGAATTTTTTAAAATACTCTATTGGTAAATAGAGTTTGTTTTAATACCAGTCTGATAATGTAGCCCATACTTAACCCTAATAAACTTAACATTTTCAAATTTTCCGTTTATAATTTTTTTGATGTTTGCATTTCACATATGTGAAACTAGAAATCACTACAAAGACGAGATTAATCAGTAAACATTAAAGAAGAAACGCCAACATTAGAGATGATCGAGAGGGTTGGAAAGTAGAGAGATGACAACTATAGCTATTAGCCGAAAATTTGTATAGAAGATGACGATATAATGTGAAACTTTTTTTTAATCGCTACAATATGAAACTTTATTCATGCTAAGTCTATTAGAAGTTTAAGATAATAGACATTCAACATAAAGGACTCACTTTATACAATTGATGAGGTTTGAGTCCTTATTTAAAATAGACATGTCTCAGCGAACTTATTTTAAAGGGAAAAATGTGCCTAGGCCCCAAAAGTAATGGAGAGAGTAATTGAGAGAATTTTGGTCTGAGGATGAGTAATGGAGAACTAACTAGTTATTGCTCATGATGGAGTAAAAAAAAGGGGAAAATTTCCCTCCATTTTTCCCATCATATCGCATTAATGAGAAGTGACTTCTGTTGTTCGGGACCAGGACTCTTCTGGGGAAGAAAGAGAATGGCAGTTTTGGCTTTTTTCCAAAATACGTTCAGCTTTTAGTATAAAGCTGATGTGGATGGGGCTTAAAACATTAAAGCTCATTTTTTGGGGTTATTCCACATGGGGCAAAGTACAAGGGGACTAGTCACACGAAGTTCCCACTTTTGAGGCCTGGACATATTTTTTCCTATTTTAAAACATGTAGGATTATAGTGACCGATATCCAAAAACCCAAGGACAAATGTTGCTTCCACAATAAAA